CATCTTCTCATGTTTTATTTTAATTAATGTCTAAAATAGGCTATAAAAAAGATAAGCCTAAAACAGGCCCGAGGCCCGGCCCGCGTGTGAACTATGACGTGAAAATTGGCCCGAAGCCCGGCCCTAGGAGCATAAATAAGTCGGGGCCCGTCGGGCTCGGGCTGAAATGCAGGCCTCTACAAGCGGAAACCGAGGGTAACACGGATATGACGCCATTGACTGGCGACTACACGTCCCGTTTTCTTGCAATTTTCTCACGATTTACAAATAGTTGGAAACATTGGGGATATTGTAAGTAATCAACTAAACAAAATATATAACATTGGCCTAGTGGTTTTTGGATATTTTACTGCAAAAATCCTACATATTGTACCTTTAAGTTGATTGTACTCAAAAAATGTAAGGCAGCAAACTTCTTTTTTTTTACAGTGCACCAAAACATGGGACTTTACATGATTTGTGTGATTATGTAATTTTCCATCAATAAACATAAAATGAATGGGCAAAATGCATGAAATAAAGATTGTGGATAACACAATGGATAACAGGCTTGCAAATGTGCATTTCTGAAACGTGTTCGAAGCACTTTGGAAGGAGGGGCTTATAGAGACAAGAACTAAACAGAGCGTTACTGACAGACTAGGAAGAGAGGTGACGCAACAATAGCAAATATGTGAAAAATACTGTGTTTTCACAGATTATAATCACAAAAACAGTGAACTGTTTTCAACATTCATAATAATAAGAAATGTTTCTTGAGCAGCAAATTATAATGATGTCTGAAGAATCATGTGGCACTGAAGACTGGATTAATGATGCTGAAAATTCAGCTTTGCCATCAAAGGAATATATTTGAAATGAAAATAATTGTTCACATTATCACTGTTTTTACTTAATTTTCAAGCCTTGGTGAGCATAAGAGTCTTCTTTCAAAAATTTAAAAATCCATAACGACCTCAAACTTTTGAACTGCAGTGTGTGTGTGTGTAAGGAATGCTTCTAATATATCACTCAGTTTCAGATGTGTATGAAGCTTCTGCAATGATTTTTAGGCGGTCATCATTTCGAGAAACTCATATACTCTCAACCATAACATGCCCACATGACCCACAGACTGACCCTTCTTACAACACTTTCATCTTCGATAGCACAGTCATTCCCCTGAGATCACCGGTGGTCTGCCTGATCCTATCGATATGCACTTTTCTCCTTTCCATCCTCTATCAGATTCATTAAGCAGTTTTTGGGGGAATAAAGTCATCAAGCATCTTTCAGAAGTAAAGCGTGCTGCTGTTTTGCCTTAGGACAAGCCTGTTACAGATTCAAGGAGGAATGCTGATATGGTTGAATTATTTAGAATGGCGTTCAGGTAAATGCCCCTGACAGATAATAGGAGAATGATGACCTGACACAATCACAGACGTCTGTTGGCATGCAGCGTATCAAAGACACATCAGGCCTGACAGCAAGTGCACCCAACTGGGATTTACAATACTCCATCCATCTGAATGGATAAAAGCACCCGAAGAACGCACCCATTGAGAGCAGAGAACCAAAGATTGAGGGGAAAGAAATGCATCGAAGGTTTGAGCTCTTGTCAAAAGCTGATGTCGACAGAATTTTAATGGCTGGTGTTTGTGGTGGAGTGCTTAACTCAGGGGAAACTTTGTCTTCCTGTTTGAAAAAGAGAGAAAGAGTCTAAGGAACAAAACTGCTGCTCATCCTACTGAAAGGACGAGTGGACTTTTTAAGGCTTTGAAGTGCTTTGTCTCTCTCTAGAAAACACATTCATGACTACGTCCTCCTCCTGAAGCTTTTTTTTTGTTTGGCTTATACCTGTAGCTCCACTTGTTTACACAAATATGGGTTTTGTGTCTGTCATTAGAAGTGGCGGGAGCTCAAGCCAAGGTGTTTTTAATGTGTACACACACACACACAAAAAAACTCCCATTTAAACATCTGGTGTTGAAGTGTAAACGGGATCCAAAATATTTTGTGCTCCAATTTTTCAGGGATGCATTTGGCCACATCACTAATGCATCATAAACGGTTCCAGACGACAAAAAACACCTCATCTGTCATGCGTACTACTCAGTCTTAAACATTAAGAAAATAAACTAATGTTAAAACATAAACATAATGTATCACTGAGTCATTCATCTTTAAATAAATGATTTAATATTGGTCATGATTCCAGTTATTATTATTATTTTGATGATTATTTAGGGTATTATCTGCAATATAGCAGTGCACTGCTGGCACAAATCATCTTGTTTTTGGAATAGTCCAATGAAATAAATATTTTATTTTGCCTGATTTGCATGCAATGTCAAAGATCATGTGGAATTTTTGCTTTTTTACCAACAAGTAAGAGATTCATAGTCAGAATATAAAACACTGAAATAATAATACAAATAATGTAAAGTTAAATTATTGATCATTTATTTATTTAATAAACTTGTTTTGTTAAAGTAATACATGAAAAAACTGGGAATGGCAACAGTCTTCATGATTTATTATTATTATTATTATTATTAATAAGAGTATTAGCTGTAAAGTGGCATAGTTGTGGGCCAAATCAGATTATTATTTTTTGCAAAAGTCAATTAAAAAAGAGAAAATAAACCTTAATTATAATAATAAATGTATTACTGATTGTGAATGTAGTATTATATCATTAATCACTTATTTATTTAATACACTTCTTTGGATAACCAAACAAACAAATAAGACAGATTATGTTTTCATGTTAATTTGTAATAATAATAAAATGATTAAAATCATAAAATTATTAAAAATATTATTAATTCATATGTATTATTATTATTCAGGGTATGAGCTGCAATATAATACTATATCATACCACTATCCTACCCTGATGGATCTACCCCTGGTTTATTATTATTTGTATTATTTATCTGCAATATAGTGGTGTATTGGTTGAGCAAATCAAAACAGTAAAATGAAATAAATGAACTACAGATACAAATCCACACAAAGGACAGTCATATGGAATTATGGGTAAGGGTCAGGATGGTCTTGAATGTAACATTACTACCAAGTGTAAAAGGGTCCAGGGAAGCATCATTGTGAACACATCCCCCCCTAAACCTACAAAACATACAAGACCCTTATTCTCCAACTCATCGTAACATACAGTGGCTTTGCCCGACCCATCTGATACAGTCTAACAGACGACTGTGAGATAACCTAGAGATTTATGGATGCATAAGCACAGATGTATGTGTGTGAGAAGCTTTAATGAAAAAGCACTCTGGACTTGTTGGGTCAGGCTTGTTTACCTCTTGTGAAACAGAGTGGCACTTTCATCTGTCTTCTGCTCTAATTGGACGCTCCGCTTCGACTCTCATCGTTCGAGGACGGATACCATGCCGACACACACACACACACACTGTAACGTGGGGCAAATTCTCCTGCGTGTTTACCTCTCGCGCTCATAATGACAGCTATTTCTGCAGCTGCTCAGCTGTTTGCATCTGAAAGCTGGTTTCTCCTTCACGTTCTGTAGGTTCACTCCGGCACAGATGCAGATAAACCCGCTGTACACAAAACAACATTTCAATGGACGCTCTGTCCTCATTTACTCTCCCTCATGTCATTGCAAATTCAAATTTCGGCCATTTTATCACACAAAAGCTTTTGTGTGCTACTAAGAATACTCCTAGTTGCTGCAAAGAAGAACATCACAATTAAATGGCTTTAGAAAATGGCTCTGGCATTCGAAGAATGGTTACGGACCGTGAGGGAGATTCATGTTATGGAAAAAATAATGCACAGCTTAAGACTCCGAATGACTCTGTTTACTGGGTGAGATGTGGTGGTCATGTTTTAGAGCACATATTTTTCTGTTTTATAATTGACTTTGGGTCAAAAGCTATTGTATGGCCTCGCAAGTCATACGGACCACTTTTATGGTGCTTTTTGACCAGTACAATATTCAAAATGATTTTGAGTTTCTCTGAAGAAATGAATGAGGATGAGCAAGCAATAACAGAATGTTACCATTACAGTTGTTTATAATTAGTGGGGGTTTTTTCATTATTTTTCAGCTTTATTTCAATGAATGAAGCAAAGCAGTTATAAAATCTTACCATAAAATTATTCGTGCTATTTTGGTATTATTTACACTATAGCATTTATTAATATTTTGAATATATTTGCAGTTTAGACTGTTATTTTAGTTTAAGTTTTAGTAATTTTCTTATATGCGTGGTGATATTTTTTATTTTTGTATTTTTGTATTTAGCTTCATTTCAGTTTTAGAAATGTTTTGTCATATTTATTTTGTTTTAATATTTCTATTTAGCTTTTTTTATTTCAGTTTTATTAATTTGAGTTCTTTTCTAATTTTCATTCAAGTTATTTTTAAAATTTAATTGAAAACTTGAATTTAAAAAAAAAAAATTACATTTTGTATTTGTTTTTCATTTTACATCACCTTTATTTGAATGTAATTAATTGTTATGTAATTTTACAATAACAGCTGTTTATAAGTAGTGTTATTTTGGTATTGTTTATATGATATTATAAAATGTAGTAATTTTGTTATGCAAGACGTCATGTGAGATTTTTTTTTTATATTTATATTTATTTTAGTTGTTTTGCGATTTTTATTAATTGTTTAATATTTCTAGCTTAGCTTTAATTTTCAGCTTTATTTATTTTTAAATTTCAGTTTTAAATTAAGTAATTTTAGTACTTTCAAATTTCCGTTCAAGTTTTTTTCATCTAATTTAATTTTAATTTCAATTATAAAAAAAAAAGCTGCTATGAAATAACATTACCTTAACAGCTGTTTATAAGTAGTGTTATTTTAGTTTTAGTAATTTTGTTATGTGCTTTGTCAATTTTATTTGGTTTTTAATATTTCTATTTAGTTTTAGTTCGATATAGTTCAGAAATACTCAGTTTGAGCCCTGTACAACAGACTTCCCAGCATCTGCGTCCTGAATGAGCATTTCAGCAGAAGTGAAGGATACTTCCCCGCCGGCCCCGCAGAGACTCTATAGTTGCTGTAGCTGTTGGTTGGGTGGAAGTTGAAGATGAAGATGACGTTACCCCTCTCGAAGACTATCACCTTGTCTCCCTCGTGCTTGGCGCTGATGTAAGCCTATAGAGAGAGAGAGAGACAGAGATCAAAGATTGAGCCCAGTGGGATTGCATGAGATTTGTGTGCTTTTAATCACACATGTTCTGTATCTCAGCCTATGCATGTTTGATCTTTAGCAGTAAAGTTATGGTTCCTATCTGTACGGATATTGTTGAAAATCCCACAACTTTTCATGCCCTGTGTATGAACTCATTGCTAATCATTCCCGACGTTATTAAACCGCTCTTCTGTACAGGAAGACTCTCGTTACGCTGAACTTTCATAGTATGCAAGAAGTTAAGATAAAAAGATAACCCTTTTTTGGATAAAAAAGAACAGATTAAATAAAAGATAAAGAAAACTATTAAAGAGACAATAAAAATCGAAAATGATAATAAATAAAATGTATTAAACTTATTTACCATTAATTTATTGTTTATGTATATGAATAAACATGTATATACATAATGTATAAAATAATATATCAATAAAATATATTACATATTAACCCTTAAGTTATTATAATAAATAAATAAATAAAATTGTTGATTAGTTAATGTTAATTAGTGCAAAATTAAAAAAGAGAACAACATTGGGATGGGAATGACTCTTAAAAGGAAAAGTAAATGGAAGTGTAAAAATAAAAATGTAGGTATTTTTCCTTTGTGATTTAATATTTTAAATATTTATTTATGAATAAATAATAAATCATTATTTATAAATAAAAGTCTTACAGAAAGTCTCTCACTGCACTTACATTTCTAAGTATGCAAGAAGCTTAATTTTGCTAAAGGATGACAGATTAAATACAAGATAAAAACAATTAAAGAAGAGACTATACAAATGTGAAATAATAATAATAAATAAAATATATTACACAGTCATTTATCATTTATGTATGTATATCTAATAAACAGACAAACAAACAAATAAATACATAAATAAATAGAAGAAAAAAGATTGGGAATGACTAGATTGGGAATGTTCTTAAAAAGTACAAATTAAATCGAACACATTCTTTGTGTAAAATTCTAAATAAACATTTATGTATTTTTGCTTTATGACTTATTATTTTTAAGTAGTGTTTATTTCTAATTGTATCGTATATTGGAGATTTGGTGGCCCAGATCCGCTTATTTTTGCAACCATATCATTTCACATAAAATAAATAATCGAAAATATTTCTCTTCTAATATAGAAACATATTTTCAAAGTATTCCTTCCACTAAAGATCTTTCTCCTGCAAAACACAGACCCCTCAAACTACTCAAACTCCAAACTTTTGAAGAGCAGATATTTTTTATTCAACTGAAATCCAGAGATGACACTCTCGGGGCAAACCTCCAGCTCACTGTCAGCAGCAGACGACTGCGAATGATTTAGCTGCTGGTTTCCAGCAGAAATACCAGTCTGTAATGTGCCATTAACAGAGATTATCAATGTCACTCTGCCCCGCTATTTTTGGTGGCCCAGACCGTCAGCCAATTTGGGATATGAATTCGAAAGAGAGATAAGAAAAGAAGAGATAAGATAAGAAACGCTCGTATTGAACAGATAGAAGATCCAGATGAAGGGAACAAGAATAGTTAGTATTACTCAGGATTCATTTGCATTGAGTTGGATTAAGGAATGCTTGGTCATGACCTCTTGACATCACTTTTTACCACCCAAGGCTCATTGATGCAGGAGGGTAATGAAGGCTATCCTGTCTGGTCCGAGCCAACAGAAGGTCTACTGTGCCACAAGTCACACGCAATTTGAATGATTGATAAGGTTATGGGAGAAATGTGTCACAACACACATTGCATTGCACACTGCTGTGTAGCCGCAGACCGAACAGTCCCTATGATGACCCCTGTCCTCCGCCGAAAGCGTCTACAATGGGCACGTGAGCTTCTGAACATTTTCTTTTACATCACGTGGACGGCTGTGTACGTGTGCGCTGTTTACCTGGAAAAAGTGATGACAGCAGAATGCACTATGGGAAGACGACAAGCCGGTGGAGGGAGTGTGATGCTCAGAGCAATGTTCTTCTGGGAAACCGGTCCGGACATTCATGTGGACATACATTTAACACGTGCCACCTACCTAAACATTGTTGCAGAGCAGACACAGGCCTTCATGACAATGGTGTTACTGGTGGAAGTGTCTCTTTCAGCCGGATAAAGCCCCTGCAACACTGCACACTTTCTTCAGGAATGGTTTGAGGAACATGATAAAGAGTTCAAGGTGTTGCGCTGGCCTCCAAATTCCCCAGATCTCAATCCAGTTACGCATCTGTGGGATGCGCTGGACCAACAAGTTCAATCCACGGCGGCTCCACCTCATGACATTACAGGACTTGAAGGATCTGCTGCTAATGTCTTGGTGCCAGATACAGACACAGGACACCTTCAGGGATCTTGTAGAGTCCATCCCTCGCCGGGTCGGCACTGTTTTATTATGACGATAAAATTCCCATGCTCATCGCGTCTGTGCATGACACCAAAGGGTTCTCATTAAAATCAATGGAGTACCCTGCACGTCGAAAAAGACACTAAAGGGTGCGTTAAAAGTGACGCCAAGGTGTCCTGACCAAGCGTCCATATGTGACGAGTTGGGAGTGAGAACGTGTTGTCTTTTCTGCAGCATTCATTCTTAGTTTATGCTCCACTTTAATGATTAATTAGAGAATGTTATAAAGAATGCTTTTCTTTTCATGCTTAATACTATGATGAAAACAAACCTATTGAATTCAACGATTCAAATCTCTGTCTATACATGCTAAAATGTGCAGTAACCAACAGCAAACACTGTGTCAGCCACATATTTGTATCATCTCATTTATCAAAAACAGTCATTAATGCTGGTCAGTCCTACACAACTACCTTTCATTTTTTCATAATGCATTCAAAGTGGATTTAACCACATAAATCTAGCACAAAACATGCTTCTAGCAAATTCACTATAATTCATTTGTAAATTACAAGGTTCGAAGGATGGATACATTTAATTCCAGTAGCCACTCCTCATTCTTTGCAAACAGTAACATGAGTCTTGCGTTTTGGAGGAATTTACTGTAAATAGTCTCGATCTGAGGGGTTGCATTTTCATCGACGTGGCTGGCCCAAAAGCAGATCTTATGAAGTAGACATATGAGTGAGGAGGTGAGGCAATGCCCTTCATTGACATGATATACTGGCGCCAAACTGGTGCACAGGAGATAATGTGTATTATGGAGTGCTGGAACTATATCCCTTAGTGCATACACAATCAGCTTTAGTGTTTTAATAGAGTTTCCCGACATGCCTGGTTTCATTTCATAGCTAAAAGTATGCTTACGAATAAGGTGTTCTCAAAGGAGGGACATGAGTGTCACAATCACAGGTTGTGAGTTTCCTAGGGAAGCTTGCTTCCACCGAGTCTCAGCCTCAGACGTCACGCACACTGACCGTTGGCAGAACGTTTGATGCATGTGGCACACAGAAATGGAAACACTTCATGAGTTTCTAAGTCATCATTTGATTGGATGAATTCTACAGGAATTCCGGGAGATGAGCGCGTCGTGTTCTTTAACGTTCTGCATGGAAACAAAGTCGTCATGAAGCCAAGCCCCCTCATGGAAGAAGAAATCCGTTGCGTTTACAACTGTGACAATGAGTGCTTATCATGATCAACTAAACCAAAGTCCTTTTAGGCAAGTCATGCCACTCGGCCGCCATCTTGGCAACGCCTCCGGGCAGCTATTTCGGACTAACAAGACCAGGCTCCTATCTAAATGAATGGGCAGAGAGTCAGAACTGCACTTTCACTGGTCACCGGGACATAAAAACTGCATGTATAGAAACAGCAGTAAAATATGATAAAAATCGCTGAAAAAGTTTGATGACTTTGCCCCAAAATAAGGTTTAAAACGCCTTTTTCCCCACAGGTTATACGTTTACTACGCATGCGCAAGGGTTCTCTCCCTCTCTCTCGTGCGCGCGCTACACAGTTTGAAGCACAGTATGTGCCCGCTCTTGCTCGCTCGCTCTAGTTTCCGGGAGATTTGAACTAATTTGCGGGCATCAGGGAGCCGCTATCAATCTGCGGGAGACTCCCGAAACTTCCGGGAGACTTGGGATGTCTGATTTTTACACAACTCACACATACACTGCATATCAAATCTGCCGCCTTTTCAAACAGTAACGTATTTTCCGCTGTTCCAAACCTCAACTGTGCGCATGCGTCAGTGGAACTAGACGATAGGCTTAAATGTTTCCCGGCTTGACTGTTAAAAGCAGACGATTGGCTTTTCAGCTGGAGGGGCGGGACATGTGCAGACAACCGCCATCTTTGGCATTACGGGTTTTCCCTATATAGTTGTATTAAGGATTGAGGATGTGGCATGTCTCTATATAAATAGTCTCTGACTAAACGCTGGATTTTCAAAAGCATATGAAATACGTGAAATTCATGGCATAAAATACGTTCAAAAGTTTTACATGCCGGTCTGTTGTTGCAGAAACATTGAATTTACATTTCCACGCCTCTAAACATGATGCTGAACAAAACGAACTGTCACTGGTTGTTTTATATGCCATTCAGATGAACTTTTCGGCGGCCTTTGGCCAATGAATGTTGCCGTCAGTCTGAAGGTTTGGCAAGACGATAGTTTCCACCACAGAATAGAAAATAATAATAAAAATGCAACGTTTTTCCCTCACAATTGTGAGTGTCACAATTCAGACTTTATAACTGACAATAACGAGTTTATATCTCACAAAAAAAAAATCAGAATTGCAAAAAATGAAGTCAGAACTGTGAGATATAAACTCGCGATTGCGAGAAAAAAAGTCTGAATTACTAGTTTATTACGAGTTAGAAAGTCGCAATTTTATAGCAATTTTTAAGTAAAAATTATTTTGTAAAATATATTTTATATTAAATATTTTTTTAGTACAGTACATTTGCTTTACAGTACACTTAAACTTCTTTAACTTTTTTACACTTAAATTTTTTTGAAGTGCAATTATCTGCTACATTTTTAAATTTTTTTAAAA